CTTCCTGGCAGTCAGGACCCCGAGGGTGTGGAATGGGCTTCCCCGGGAGGTGGTTGAGGCCCCATCAGTGCGGGTGTTCAAGGATAGGCTGGACGTCCACATGGTGGGCATGCCGTGAGCGGAGCCGGCTGGAGCCGGGGGTCAGACTAGATGGCCCGGGAGACCCCTTCCGACTCGCTCTGTTTCTCTGTTTCTAAGTCCAGACACCGACCTGGAGCTGCCGCCGACACGAGCAGGGCAGGGCTGGCGAGAGGTTCGCCGTGAGGAGCGCACCGTCCTTCGCGGCGCCCGGGGGCTTCGGGAACGCGCTCCGGGCTCCAGCCCAGGCGAGGACCGGGTGGCCTCGGCCCGCCCCGCGCCCACCCGCCGTGCCGGGGCCAGGGGAGCGCGCAAGCCCCGGGCGTGGAGGGGAGGCGTGAGGCCGCTTGCTCCGCCTTGCGGGGCCCGGTGCGAGGGACTCGCGGGAGAGGGAGCTCCGGCGCCGGGCCGGGCGCCGGGCCGGGGCCGCCCTCGCTGCGGAAGAGTCGCCCGGCCGCGGCAGGAGACGCCGGGGCCGCGCCGACGCGAGGCAGCCTGGCCCGGGGACGACTCGGGCCGCAAGCAGCTCGTCCGAGGGCCTGCCGGCGGCCGGCGCCCGTGTAAGTTGCGTGTTATGGGGATCCTGCTCCTTAGGAAGAGCGCCTCGACGTGCCGTGTCGAAGCTGCCCGCTGCACCCACGCGCTGGCTTGCGGCATGAAACGTCCGGGCAGTATCCAAGATCTAATGGGCAATCATTTTATGGTAGTCAGTTTCTGGTATTCTGTTTTATGCCTCTCTTTCAGACTTGATAATATCTGTTTATTAACTATGAAAGGGTGTGATGCGCCGGGCACAAGGACGTGCATTTCTTTATGTTGTTTGCTGCATTTCAGTTCGTCCATAAAAACAGGGGCGCTTTGCTATTTGTTCTCAGAGGCTGACGAAACAGAGGTCTGCACCTGGTATCGGTGCATCCCAGGCTGTGCGTGGTCTTCACCAGACAGACACTTCGATGTCAATTACAGTCTTGTTAACTGGGAGACCTCCTTCTGAGGCGAAAGCTTTTTCTTGCATGCAGCAAAGCTAAATAAAGCCTTCCTGGCAACACCCCAGGTGTTGCTGAGCTCTCCTTCTAAATAAATAGATAAATAAACCCTAGACTGGAAGAATTTGGTATCAGATGCATTCAGAATATTCCATTGGGCAACTCCCATGTTTTGCTTGTTAAGTTTTGGCATCACGGTAAGTGACGGCTGCCCATTATTTTATACCTGGATACCCACTGACCGAAATCCTTCTGGATTAATGGTCAGAGTGGAACTCACATGAACAGACATATTGACAGTGAGTCAGATGGAAGGATTTAAAAATATATTCTCATGCACTGTAGGATCGACAGTGTAGGTGACTGAAGGCGCAGGCCTGCCTTTGGACACCATGAAGAGTTGCCCTCTCCATTTTGCCGTGTGGTCCTTTTTGAGTTGGAAAGGGGCTCTTCCAGGGGTGGGGAGCCACCCCACAAGGTTTCTAGAGGGCCAGCGCCCTGCCCTGTTCACCGAACTGTTCGGGGCACCAAACGTGGCTGCCTTCTCCTGGAGCGCTCCCATGTTTTCACACCACTCCCACCATCCTTTTTTCTGACCGCAGAAAGCAAGTCATGGGGAAGGGGGTGGGCTCCTTGCGCGTGAGTAATGCTAGGAGGCCTCTCTCTGTCTGGGAGCCCCCAGCTGAGAGCCAGCCTGGACGAGCCCTGAGTCCAAAATACACCTGAACCTGCGTTGGGCGACCTTCCCTGTCAAGAGGGGGAGTTGAAAACAATGAGGAGGGCAGTCACAGGTGTGCAGCTCACGATTCCATTGTGGTTTCTCTTCTTTTCTTTGATGTGTGAAATCCTTAGCCATTGGATAAGCTCAGGCCCACATCCCCAGGCTTGCTGCAACCCACCTCGCCCCACCAGGCACCACGGTGCCTTCCAGCAACGACTCCGCCAGCGCCAGCGCCACCCCCGAGCAGGCGCCAGGAGAGCTCCACTCGTCCCCAATGAACGTCTCCGCCGTGTCTGCCTCCTGCCCCATCGTCTTCTCCAGTTTCCAGTTTGTCCTCATCCCAGTCCTGTTCTGTGCCATTTTCATCCTCGGACTGGTGGGCAACAGTGTGGCGATCATGGTGCTGTGTGGGCACAAGAGCCCCAGGACGGTGGCCAACGTCTGCATCGTCAACCTGGCCGTGGCGGACCTGCTGGCCCTGGCCACGGTGCCGTTCTGGGCCGCTTACTATGCCTACGGGTACAACTGGCTCTTCGGCCCCGTGATCTGCAAACTCGCCAGCTCGATCCTGTGCCTGTCCATGTTTGCCAGCATCTTCTTCATCATGCGCATGAGCGTCAGCCGCTGCCAGGCCATCGTCCACCCGTTCCGGGCGCAGCGGGGCACGCTGCGGCAGGCGCTCTCCAGTGCCTTGCTCGTGTGGGGCCTGGCAGCCCTCCCCTCGCTGCCCACCTTCTACTTCCGTGATACCCTGTACATCGAGGAGCTGTCCGTGACGGCCTGCGTCATGGCCTTCCCGTTGGAGAGGTACTCCAGCTGGTCCGCGGGGATGGCCCTGATGAAGAACCTGCTCGGCTTCCTGGTCCCCCTGGTCGTCATCACGGTGTGCTACGGGTGGATCTGGGTGCACCTGAGGAGGGCGCGCCGTTTCCAGAGGGGCAAGCGGACGAGGGACCGGGTGCCGAAGCTCGTGGCTGCCGTGGTCGTGGCCTTCGTGATCTGCTGGCTGCCCTTCCACATCCTGACCTTCATGGATGCTCTGTCCTGGGTGGGCGTGATCCGCAGCTGCCCCGTCACCTCCGCGATCGACGTCGCCCTGCCCTTTGGGCTGTCCATGGGCTTCGTGAGCAGCTGCATCAACCCTTTCTTGTACTATTTCATCGGCAGACAATTCCGAGACAGGCTGCAGCATTTGCTGAAGCTGAGGCTGTACCAGTTCAGCAGCAGCCGGGAAGTGTTTTGCCCCAGCAAAAGCGGCTCTGTCAAAACCGTCGAATCCGTGGCTGGAGCGAGAGCTGGGGGAGGCGGCCCCCAAAGGCCCCAGGTGCCCCCCCCGTGGGCGCCTGGAGCTGCACCTGGGAACAGCTGGCAGGGTGCTGTGCTCCCTCCCTCTTGCGTCCTTTCCTGAGTTCCCGCATGACCATCTCCTGGACAGTGGAGATAATGCTTTCCGTTTCTTGGAGATTTCTGCTCCTTCAGAAAGAGGTGTCATTTTGCTGTAATTGTTGTTTCTAAAATCAGCTGTAATTCGTCACGAATAAACATCCGAAGAACAGGGCCAGCCCAGCAGCTTTCTGGGACTAAGGTGGTCCTTCTGTTTTTAATGAATGCTGTCAGGGGAAGAATTAGGATCCACACCAGAAGCTCCGGTCAAACTCTGAGCATAGCGGTCTCCGTATCGTGAACGCACGGGGAGGGCGGTGGGGCATAAAAGGCTTGCCCGTTGCAGGTTCCAGAAATTAGCAGCGCCATCGCGGCAGGGCTGTGAGGTCCCTGGCAGGGCCGGTCGGGAGTCCAGCAGGTCAAGAGCTTGGGCAGCTCTTCGCCACAGTGCTGCGGACGACCATCTGCCGCTCCCTTGCAGGCGTGCCTCTGTCTTGCAGCCCTGTCCGAATCAAGGAGGGAAAGGGCCAGGCTGGTTTGTTTTGCCTCCTCGATGGCCACTCACTGGGAACACGCGCCGATGACCGTGGGCGACTGGATCAAGCCCCTTTGCACGGCGGCACACGAGCAGCAAGGCCCTTTCACACATGCCGGGCATCGCCGGACGGTGCTGAGCACGCGGGGAAGGGTGCGAGCCCCTCCTTGCTTGCGTGCGGCTCCAAAGCAGCATTGAGCAGCGCTTTGCATGTGCGGATGTGCGATCCCGGGTCCCGTCCTGGCACGGGCGGACGGCTCTCGGCAGCTCCGGGCTGCGGCGCTTGGCAGGCCCGGTGCTGCGGCCGAAACGCTGCGTGAGCGGCCAGCAGCGGGGAAGCTGGTCGCGCGGAGGGGCAGCCTGTCTTCGGCTCTTCCTGGGCCGGGGGGGGGGGGGGGGAGAAGCTCCAGGGGGAGCACGTGCCTTGGATGCAGGGGTCACATTGCTGGTGCCCCCCCAGTTAGCAGGGGCAGGGGAGACCTGGGCGGACGGATTGGCGTGGGAATCGAAGGCGGATGCTGAATTTAGGGCTGGTATGCGGCATCCCACTCAGGGCAAGTGACTTCAAGCTGCACCAGCAATTTGGGGGGGGGGGGGCTGCTGCAAGAGGGGGGCTCATAGGATGAGAGCTCATTGGCGGAGGGCGTTTAACCCTCTCCTCCCCTGCAGTAGCTCTGAAAAAATCCTTTCTCAAAGCTTCTTGACACTGGAGCAGGATGGGCGCCCCTCAGATCCAGCCAACAAGCAGCTGTTCTAGCGCAGACTTTGGCACTGACCGCACCTTTTGACGTTGCGCAGAGGAGGAGAAAGACGTCCCGTCAGCATTCATGAAAGATGGCTTCCTCCGTCAGCGAAGTTCGTGTGTGCCACACTCATAAACACCATCTGGGCCAGTCCGTTCCCTCCCCACCCATCAGCCCCATCGCAGCCCCCACATGGCTCGGCTCCGGCCTGGCCGCAGTGCTCACTGGACTTCCGCCAGACATCTGCGGCCAGCTGGCCGGCCCTCCCCTCCTCCCCTGCCCGGGAAGCGAGCTCGTCAAGCCGGCAAAAACCTTTCTGCACCATCAGGCAAAGTCCTGCTGAGACAGGAGTGTGGTCTTCAGCCACGATCCGGCATGCACTCTACTGTCCTCCCAGTGGAGGTTGAACGACATGGATGCCTTTATTTCTACACTGCCCCAGAGTCAAAGCTCTCTGGGTTTTTTACGAGGGTTCAGGAAACTGGTAACAGACTAACACGGATAAAAATATATGCGAAGGACAAACAATGCCAAAATGCAGAGGGGCTAGAGCAACCTATGATACAGAGCAGACCTGAACGAGAGCTGGGAGGGGGTCTCTCAAGCCATTCCCTCTCCTGGGATGTCTCAGTGGAGGTGGGTCTCAACGGGCACTGAAAGGATGGCCAGGTTGGCGCCCGGCACTGCGAATGCGGGGATCCTTTGGCAGCTGGGGGGCCCCAGTGAGAAGGCCTCCCCACTTTCGCTGCCCTTGAAGGCTTGCTCCAAGTGGGATCTTGTGGGGAGGGGGCAGGTGCTGACGGCCGGGCCTGGGTGAATGGCGCAGCCTGTTTTCAGGGCTCTCTCTTTCAGCCTGAGGGCTGAATTCACCTTAGGGGTGCCCTAGGTGGGTGGGGCCAGGGTGGAAGGGGCGGGGCTGAAAGCCTGGCGTGTTAATTGTGGCCAAAGTCTTTATGGAGTGGAAACATCTGGCCGTGTGGGCTGGAATCGACGGGGACATTTGCTGGAGTGCATCTGCTAATCTTTAAAAATGCTGTGCTGCTCACAACGCCCGAAGAGCAAGAGAAGGCCTGCCGGTCCCGTCCTGCGGCCACCAGTGCGGCCTTGCCTGGCCCACAGCGGCCCCCCCGAGGTGCACAGGGAGTCGCAAGTGGGAGAGGAGCACAAGGACCTTCTCCGGCTCACGATCCCCAGCAACTGGGCACATGAAGCGCTGCGGCAGGTCCTGGCCGCAGGGGCAGTTCCAGGTTTCCGAGGCCCTCGAGCAGGGAGGGCGTCCTGGGCCCCCTCCCTCAATGAGTCTGCCCTCTCGCCACCACGGCCCCCAGCTGCCCTCGCCCCTCGCCCCACCCCTCCTGCCCCTCGCAGGCAGCAGGGTGCCCTCCTGCCCCTCCTCCTCATCACGCTGTGGCCTGGGGCGCCGAAGAGGCAGCTGGCGCAGCAGTGAGGAAGAGGAGCCGCCCTGAGGCCCCTGGCTGCGGGGGCCCTGTTGGGGTGCGCCCCCACCCAGAGCCCAACCGCGCACGCCCTGGGGCCACCCCCACCCGCCAGCTGCGGCTCCCGTTTTCTCTGGGCGGCTCCCACTTCCTTCTGGCCCTCAGTGCTGGCACCCTGCAGGATGGCCTGGACTGTCCTCAAAGCTGCGGGGCTGCATTTCCGCTGGATGGGAAACGCTCGCAGAAGCTCCGTGGCTTTTGCACATTGGGCTGTGAAGAACGGAGTACTGTGAGGCAGATGCTCAGGTGGCAGTCGGGGCCGCAGGCTCGATGGCGCGCTTTCGGGAGCACTTCTAGAGCCGGCGCTTTGTGTGTCTGTGTTTGATGATGGAGCATAAGCAACAGAGGAAGGAGTCTGAATCGGCATACCTGGGAGGGTGACGGCGGGGGCTTGCCAGGATCTGAGGCAGCTTCGGGACTCCATCTTTGGCCAAAGGCCAGAATAACAGCCCTGTAGTTGCAGGATCAGGTCCATGGCCATCAGGGCCCTTACGAGCACCACCTGGGAGCCCTAGGGAAGAGCTATGGAAGCACCAGCTCTTCCCTCCAGAGGCTGCCTCAGCAGTGAAGGTTCCTTGTCTTGCTGTGGTGTTTTGTGTTGCTATGCAAATCCTTGGCTGTGAACCCTGCACCCTGGACCTCTGCCTGCTTCTGCGCCAAAGGTGCCCTTTCTTTGTGTGGACTTCCTGGCTCTTGGCTCCTGGTTTGTGCTTACCTCCTACCAGCTTGGAATTCAGATTGGAGATGGGTCAACACTTTGGATTAAGGTGCCTGGCCCTTGGTGCCTTGGGCTCTGACTGTTCTCGTTGCAGGTATGGAGCGGGATGGAGCTGGTCATGATGAACTCCTGTGCTTAGGCCACTGTAAGGGTTATTTGTCCCCTCGGAGAACTTCTACTCCTCCTCCAGGGGAATTTTAGGATGCTGGCTGACTAGCCGTCTTTGGCTGACTGGCTGGCCTTGGGATCTAGGCATTCTAAAAAGAAAAAGAAGCACCTACAGTGACCATTTTAGCAGTGTGAGAGAGATCGGCATGAAACATCTCACCAGCTGTGGCTTGATCTGTATTCCCATGCTGAATTACTGGGAGAATCCAGACATGGAAATAGAGAGATGGCCCCTTATGTGGTGGAACCAAGCCGGTGTGGTACTTGCGCTTCAGATTGGTTAATGGGGTTGATGGATGAGCTTCTTCCATCTTCTGTACTGAGGGGTAGGTATCTTCTACCATCCCGTCCTAGTTGGGACTTGCTGGAGCTTATATAAGGACCTTCAACCAGCCCCCTGCACTGTGGGAAGAATTAAGCGGCTCTCTATAGAACGCCAAGATAGCTGCTTCTATAACTCTCTTGGAATGTCCCGAAGGAGTGCAAGCATTGGAAAGCCTTTGGCCAATCCATGGGGCATCACCTGAGCTTCCATGGGTGAGTTTCTGCACTTAAAGCTGAGGCTGAGCCAACAAAGAAATGGATGTTTCTCCTGTGCTCTGTTGTCTGTAACCTGCCCAGGCAGCCGTGTGGCCCAAGGGGTGGGCTGAGAGCTAATGAATAAAGCAAGTGCCATGCATCACAGAAGGCGGTTGAGGAGATGCGGCTTGCTCCGCCAGACGCCGGTGATGCAACGAGGACCGTGTCTCACTGAGGCCCAAGAAGCAGTCACATCCTGCACTGGTTTCCCCTTTGGTTGGACGTTCTGGCTTGTGTAAATCGTCTTGCTCGTGATGGATGCTCATGTGCTTTGAGTGACACCCCTCCGATGTGGGGATGAACCTACAGGCAGCAGACCTCTCACTGCAGACTTACTAACAAATGGTGGGGACTTCTTCTGTGTCAGTAACAAGCTCTTGAAACTCTTCCGTTTTAATGACAAATTGTGGGAACTTCTGCATCACCTCCCACTGCCTCTCGTTCATCAGGCTAAAGATCTTTCTCCTCATGCTGCATTTTACAATGGATGTGATTCATGTACACGGACAATTTACACAGATGTATATATTTGAAACAGAAGAGTCAGTTCCCTCCCACTCTTCTTTCTTTCTTTTTTATTGAGTGATGCAAATGATTACTGTGTATGGATATATGAGTATGTTCTATAATAGAGTCGTCCTTTTCCTGAATCTTTGGTGGTGTTTTTTGTGGTCCCTCCCTTTTCGTATCTTATGTTTCTGCTCTAAAATTCAGATTTTTTTTTAAAAAAATGAAGTCCCTGGCCTTCTGTCAGATAGATTTAGGGTGGCTTTGACCTGGGACAGCAGGAGGCTATAAAGCCATTTCCCCCCAGCTGGTGCTCTTCATTTGTGTGAGATAACGGCTCTCCCAGGGCCTCTGGGGCAGTGCTGGGAGCTATAATTCAGCACCTCCAGAGGGTCCCGGATTGAGGAAGGCTGGGTAGAGGCCTCCATGTTTCATGGTGATCCAGACCCACCCCACATCTCCCTATATTTTCAGCTTTTTCTCTTGAGCAACACTATTTGTGGTTACTGCAAAAGTTCTCCAGTAGAGTTTGGCGTCCGTTATGATGTTTCTCTGGCAAATAAAGTCCCTGTGCTGAGGAATTTTACTTACTTGGCTGTCCGAATCAGGGTCAGTGGGACATGAGTGAAAGAATCTTGTCTCCGTGGATTTGTTCTGCACTTGGAGACGAATTGCTTTTGGACTCTCGTCCCAAAAGATCGCCTCCTGGGGACAGCTGATGGATGTTGTCAATAACCGTGCTTTCCACCATTTGATTCCCGCAGGATGGATCAGTTGCAGCTGGCCCAACCAGCTCCTGGTCCTGGGTGGGTCTTCGAAGGACCTCACTGGAGGGAAGTAATTTGCAAGACCCCTCTGGTGCCCCCGCTGTCTGCGTGGGCAAGGCGGGTAGACAAGGGAAGCGGCTCCACTCTGTCTCTGTGGGCTCTGCCATAAAGTGCCACACACACTCACATACTGCCCCGTCTCCTGGATCAGCAGACAGTCTCAACCCTGAACTTCAAGCCGGGCCAGTCAAATTCCAGCTAGATGGCAACCGCCAGGAATTTCTGGAGCGCTTCGCTGTGAACGTAAGGAATATAAGCCTAATCGAGCCATTAACTATTTTGCAAGGAAGCCCAGAAAATGCTCTTTATCACCCCGGGCCCCTTCGCGAATGGCAGTGCTGTTTTCGGTAGCTGCAGGTGGGCTTATTCAATGACCAGACAGGTTGAATGGATGGCAAATGCCACCCTTCTGCAGCAGGGGGTGCCCACTGGGGGGGCTGTCGTAGTGGCTCTCTGATGTCACCTTACCCCATTTTTGGAAAATGTACGCTCCAGCCTTGTCTTTTGATGGCTCATGACACCAGAGGATGCTGAGGCAAAAGCATTGCTCTTGCCCTTTTCTGGCAAGCCGGTGACGAATTTGAAGAGCTTCCCCTGGATTCGCCACCCCCCCGCCCCCCGGCTGGCCATCGTTTTAAACAAATACAGTTTTATAGTTCTCCCATCAGCATTTGGCATATCAAATCATGTCACAGTTGGATTTGCCAAGGCTCAAGCAGGGCCTCAGTTTATGTAAACTGAACTCAAGACTTGATTAATTGCTATTTTTAAAGACGGATCTGTAACCAGTCCAACAAATTCACTACACTCGGGGTGGAAACTCCAATTCAGATAGTGCAGGAATGCGGAAAGGGAGATGAGGAAACCAGAGGAGGCTTTCTGGAATGGGGACGAGGGGAGCAGGTGGGCAGACGTGCCAAGTTGAGCCTCACTGGCTCTTTGCATGAGAAGATGGAGTCTGGCTACCCCATGAAATTCTCCGGGCCCAGTTGATCTGGGCCAGGGCAAGGCATTTTGCTGTCAAAGGACAAGGTGTACCTCCCCCATTGGCACCTGTACTGGCAACGGGAAGGGGCAGTTATTTATTTATTTATTTATTTATTTATTTATAACATTTTTATGCCGCACCCATCGCAGAAGCCTCGGGGTGGCTTACAAAGAGAATAAATAAACAGATTAGAATAACATTAAAAATTCGGACTATCTTGGCCATAATTTAAAAACCAAAAAATAAAAACAACCACATAACAATTAAAATATCGTTTAAATAAAAAGGTCTTGGCCTGGCGCCAAAAAACGAAGAGGGTGCCAGGCGGACTCTCTGGGGAGCGCATTCCATAGGCGGGGTGCCCTCCTCCGGGTACTCACCCTCCTAATATCCTTCACAGAGGGCTCCCGGAGAAGGGCCTCCCCGGCCGAGCTCAGGGGGCGGGAGGGCATATATGGACGTAGTTACCTTTCTGCCTGGCTTGAGGGCATGAAGATGCTTGGCAAGAGAAGACCGGCCTTTGGGCAGACTGAGGAAGGGTCTGCTCACGCCAAAACATTCTTGCTTTCTCAGTCTCTCTCGCTCATGTCCTTCTGTTTGTGAACCGGGCCAGATGCGATTCTGCGGTGCACTGGAAGGGCCCTGTGCCTGGTCTTTCCCTCCCACAGAAAGGGGCGGAATTGCAGTTAGAGCTCTGCAAACTTCTCCTTTGCCACAAGAGGGCGGCCAACCCTCATCATTTGAAATCCCAGCGCTCCTGGTGGCAAAATATGGCCATAGCTTTTTTGCTAACTTTAGAAATCTTGATCTTTGTGTTTTTGCAAAGAAGTACCTCATTCTTAGATGGACTGACTAGCATAAAACATCATGTTTCTTGCTCTTGGACCATTAACTTTTGGAATTACTGGGGTTCCAACTTCATCCACAAGCTGACAGTTTGTGTCAGAGGAGATCTTAATTAGTCACAGGGGGCAAAGGAGATGGAGAGACGTGCTGAGCAGGATCCAAACAGCATTGATGCACCTGGAAACAAGTTCCTCAGGATTCAGCAAATGTGAGTTTTAAGCCCCGGAACAGGTGAAATCGCCAGGCTGACCTGGGTCGCCTGCCATGGCGGAGAGCAGCTCTGCAGAGGGACCTCCAACAGGAGGGTCCTTTCCGGGC